AAGCTACTCGACAAGCCATCTGGTTACAGGATTTGTTGTGTGAAGTTATTAGTTCCCAAAGTGAAAGAGTCATCATTCGCATTGACAATCAATCAGCCATAGCTCTCACAAAGAATCCTGTGTTTCATGGAAGAAGCAAGCACATACATAGGAGATATCACTTTATTAGAGAATGCGTTGAAAAAGGGCAGATCGGAGTGGAGCATGTTCCAGGCGCAGAACAGAAGGCTGACATTTTAACAAAGGCACTTGGAAGGATTAAATTCAAAGAGATGAGAGATCTCATTGGAGTACATGAAGTGTTCAAGAGTGATTTCAAGCTTAAGGGGGAGAATGTTGGAGTAAGCTTGAAGAGCAAGCTTCCAGAATCTTCTTAAGTAAAGTTTCCTATAAGAGTTAGGATTAAAGAGAAAAGGAAATTAGGAGTAATCTAAATTCCATTAGGTTTAGGAAGTTGTCTAAATCTTTCTTTATATAAGGAGTTACCAAAGTTGTGGTTTTACTTATCAGAGTTTGAGTGCTTTAGTTTTTGAGTCAGTTTTCTAAAGCAATAAGAGAGTTATTCTTAAAACTTTGTGTTCTAAATTCATAATCAATTTATCATTCTAGACATATAAATATGACGTGAAAATTTGTCTAAACGAAATAGATTTTAATGGGAGTAATTTCTAGTAACAGACTAAAATGGTCTGAATTTTAGAAAACAGAATGAAGTAGTCTGGATTTGGAAAATTAAATCTAATAAGATATCCAAAGGAGGAGTAAATAGAAAAAGGTGAAGTTGAGAATGATAATTAATCAAAATGTAACTTTTTGGGTGGGGGAAGATTAAAACAAAATTTATCGAAAGGATGAGTAAATCGAAAGGCTTAACCCCACACAGAAAATAAAGGAAATCAGCTTTTTTGTTTTTATGGTATCATTTTGTTTTCAAGATTAAGGCAAAGAGTCAATGCCTCCCACCTGATTTGATTTTTTCACACAGGTCAATGCTAAGTCACCTCAACTATCACAATTTGTTCACTTTTTGTTTTGAATTTCTTGATTTTATTTTACGTAAGAAACATTTGAATAAAAAAAAAAACATGCTATTTTGATGGTTGACGAAATTCAGAAAGAAAATAAAATTGATAAAGACGGTAATAATGGCAGACCAGATTTGGTGGATTTGTTTCTTTAACGAATCCAAGGTTAGATAAAAGTGAATTTACTACCCAATATCAAGACTAGGTTAATCCCATGATTCTCATTTGCTATTTAATATTTACGTGTTATATATTATTTCAGATGTATCAACCTCAAGAAGGCTACACTCGAAGTTGTTGAGGCGGAAGAGATTCATAGTGAGTAAACAGAAGAGTTTGGAATGAGTCACTTGAGTGCTTGGCCAGAGAGCTTCATTCCAAGGAGTTTTTTTTTGTTACAAAAAAATCATACGAACGTTATTTTGATGTTCCGAGTCCAAGAGTTTAAAATTTAGAAGAAAACTAGAAATCTCTTATATTGCTGATTTCTGACTCTAATTTTGCTCCAACGTAAACAAATTGAAAAACGCTTTTATCAAATCAAAATGTAAAATTTTGTTCCAAAAAATAACAATAAATGTAAAAACGAGGAATGTATGTTACCCTTAAGAAGAACACGACCGCGTGAGAACAGTACACGTATCTCATATTTCGGCGTGACGAAGCTGTCCTAAAAGGACTGGCTCCAGACATACTTCCTTTTGAAAATCGTGCCGTCCGTTTGCTTGCTCCGTCACCGTAACGGATTATCTAATGATATGACGTGTTTTTAGCTCATTTCTATTTCCATACGAGGTAAGTTGATGACAAATAATTGTCATGGTATTTTGGACTTCTTGGATCCCCAAAATAATTTATTTTTTGTAGTTAGTACTTATACTTTTCTTACCAAATAGTATCGATTTAGTATAATAATCTGTGTTAAACTCATCGTTTGCGTCACATTTTTGAAAAATTACTATTTAGAGCCGTGCCTGAGATTTCTCTAACTACAAGCGAGAAAAAAAAATTGGCTCTTTAAAACTTTTTTTAATGCAAATTAGCCCACAAATAATTGGAAAAAAATGACATATATGTGTTTGGGAAGAGTCAAACTCAGACAAACCTTTAACCAAACATGCTTTCACCTATTCACAAACTACTTAGACTAACTCAAACTCTAGAAAATTGGCCCAAAAAAAATATTTAACTCCTCCGATCCTGAAACACATGCTTCATTAGCTTGTGCTCAGACACGGCTCTGTAGTAACAGCATAAAATATATCGAATTCATATCATCAATCATTGTTATGCTTGTTTTATGTTAACCATATTATCTGATCTTCTTATTCCACATTTCCATTCTACTACATCCGTTCCAAAACTTAGATATTCTATCATTATATATTTATTTTTGGGATACAAAATAGGGCTACTATATGAGTTATACTTTAATATTATACGTTTAAAATACCTTAACGTACGAAAGTGTCCACAGTCCAGAGAAACACCAATGTAAAAACATAATAATTTCTTTAAAAAGAAAATAGAAGCCGTGAAACTAAAGGATAAGGAATAATTTTATTTATATATATACGTAAACATTAACATTAACAGAAAGTTGTAAGAAAGAAAGAAAATTAAAAAAAAGCCACGCCAAGGCGCACAAGGAAAATAAAGCGGTGCAGCGTGGACCGACAACGAAGTGGTGGGACCTACTTGCGGCTGACATCGAGGCTAAACGGGCCACTATAGCCCAGTAGTGAATACTATATTGGTCTTTAAAAAATTATAAAAATATAATTGTAATTAGTGGGTGATTCCATTGGAAACACTTTGCTCTAATAGTTAAAGTTAAAGGGTTGAAAGGCTTAGGAAATTCGATTTCCAAAAAAATCTAAAAGTTCACTGATATATGTTCTATTTATTATGGATGTAGGGCATATACGATCGTTTATAAGGAAGATTGGTATTGTTGGTTGTAGAGTTCGATAGATTTATTTTTATAAATGATTAAGTCAAAATTTATTATATAAACGCTTGTAATAGTCTAAGAGACTATTAAAAAAAATTAGTGGGTGACTCCTTCGTCCTTTAATTTTTTATTTATTGATTTAAGAATGTTTGTGAAAGAATATTCGGCGGCCGCACTTTTATGCCAAACCAAATCTCTTTCTTTAACGAAGGTGGGATCTCTAGTATAATATTTTTAGCCGATTTAGCTAAAAAGGCAATATCTGTATTTGCATACTTAAATGAATTTTACTAAAAAGTTACCAATAAGAATATTACAAAATCATTTCTAAAACCTTTTTCATTTCAGTATTTCACTGATAGAAAATATAATTTCTAGAAATTTTCAACTTTTCATTCCTTTTTAATAGACAGTAAAATGAGCGATTGAAAACGGAAAATAGTGTTGCTACGATAAGATTGCAAGCCTTAATCTCATATACTGTATCAAAGAAGAAGCAAGAGCACAAGACATGATTTTACGAGTCTCACAGAGTGTATATGCGCATCACTTTCTTGAATCAATTTCAAAATATAACCTGATAGAAACAAACAAAAGTATATCATATTTAAAAAAACCACAATGTATATTTTGAAAAAAATACTTACCATTTTAGTTTTCTATCAGGGAACTCATATGACTACAGATACACAATGGCTATATTACTGGCGATGATATCAGAATATGTATCATTTATACGGTTAACATAAAATAAACGATAATAGTGAAATCCTTTCTAAAAAAATACAATTAGTCGTGGATAGAGTGGGCTACCTAAAATGGGCAGAACAAAATTACTGAAAATATGGGCTTCTGATTCTTTGTTCATAGTGGGCCTCTATTTAATTTGATACTTTTGTTGATTTGGGCTTTGGTATAGTTTTATTTATAAGTAACACGTGGTCCAACACAATGATCAAATGAGAGAGTAGTTGAAGAGGCTACTATGATTTAAGATATTAAGCTATGCGTATACATTTGATGAACTCTAGGTCCACTGGCCTTTGATTTTCCTAAAACATACAATGTGCTATTTAAAATGCAGCGATAACTAATATTCTAAATCGGATATGTGATGATGTTTTACATCTCCATATGACTGGTACTTAAACTACCATCATTAGCTACACTGCATATAATTTGAACAAACGAATATCCAATTAAGGTTTTTTCGTTTTTTACAATGGCCTAAGGAGTGATTTTAGATGGACGATTAAGATAACTTTGATGACGAGCCCATATTTACCAAGATTTAGTTCTGGTTTGGTAGTTAAAGAGATCATTTTCCATCTAATGTGTAGAAATAACTCATGGGCTTAGTTAGTTTGCTGTAACAGAAAGAGTTTTTTCATCATTTTTCTCCCGTAAGTGTCATTAAAATTGAGTGATCAGAGCTACATAAGATAGTATTCTCTTTGAATCATTCAAATAGTCCGTGCAAGACTAACTTTCTTTACACCGAAAATATGAAGCCTATATCTCAAGCGATGACATGTAAAGAAAGTTTTGTTTTTTCTTTCTATTATTGCACGTAAAGACATACTTAAGATAGGATATTGGTTACAAAGTTCGAGGGCATGAAAAAAAAAATTGAAAATCAGACTAAAGCAAAAAGTAACAAACAAATGGCAATACAAAAAATTGAAAATCTATTACCCTTGATACAATAACTTAACTTCCAATTAATTGGATTTATAATAAGTTTATAACGGTACCAGGACCATGCTCAGTGGAAATAGTTACTGTTTCTGCTCGGAATTGTAATTACTTTCTAATTAGGAATTTAATACTCCTATTGTATATGTTTTTGAGATTCACCTTCCCCCTTGTGTGAGTTGTGTTTAAGCAAATGTCACTAAATATATTTCGTTGATTGTAATTTTTGTGATTCCCTTTAATAATACAAAAAAAAAAAGAGGAAGAGTAATAGTGAATAGTCAAAGTTCCTCTGTTTTAGCTGTCCTCTGTCTCGTTCTCATCTCACATGAACCATAACTTTCTCTAACATCACTCTCCCTTTTACACAACCCCCCAAAAATAGACTTCTCTTCCTTCTCTTTCTCTCCGTTACATTCTTCGCTCTCTCCCCCCCCAAAAAGGCTCTCACTTTTTTTCTCTAATAACCCCTTTCTTTCTTTTCCCGATGGAACAACTAACTCCGGAGCTCTTCCTCGTCGCCGGTAACGCTGACTCTTTCGTTGTCGATGACCTCCTTGACTTTTCTAACGACGACGGCCAAGCTGACGACGGACTCGACACCTTCCCTGATTCTTCCACCGTCTCCGCCGGTACTCTCGCCGACAGCTCTAACTCCTCCTCGCTTTACACCGACGGCACTGGGTTTTCCGACGACCTCTGCGTTCCGGTAACTTTCCAATACTTTTCTCCCTAATTCACGCCCCCCAACAAAAAAAAGACAACCTTTACTAGTTACCACATTGATTCTGGCAACAAAAAAAAAATGATGACTTTGTAAATAGGTCACTCTAATTCATTATATGTTTCAAGAAATTTTATAAATTGAGTTTCTTTTCAGGATTATAGATACTTTGATTAGGAGTAATTATTGAAAAAACATATTTTATATCTCAGAACTGATAACACTTGTTTCATTTGATTATCACATCGATTTAATTACCAGTGTGAGCATTTAGCTGAATTAGAATGGCTGTCGAATTTCGTGGAAGAAGAATCATTCTCGAAAGAAGACCAAGACAAGCTTCAGTTACTATCCGGCTTAAAAAACCCACAAACCACCGGGTCAACCCAGACCCACCAAATTAAACCCGAACCCGAACTTGATAGTCTGGATTCATTCATCATTGCCACCGACACAGACACCGATGACTCTAACGCCGCCTCAGTTCCGGCCAAGGCGAGAAGCAAGAGATCACGCTCCGCAGCTTCCACGTGGGCATCTCGCCTTTTGGCAATCGCCGGCTCCGACGAATCCAATCCCAAGAAGAAACAGCTCAGAATAAAAGAACAAGATCTCGCCGGAGATTTCGACGGAGAAGGCGGAGAATCAGGAGGAGGACGACGGTGTTTGCACTGCGCGACGGAGAAGACGCCGCAGTGGCGGACGGGACCGATGGGTCCGAAGACGTTGTGCAATGCGTGCGGCGTACGGTACAAATCTGGGCGGTTAGTGCCGGAGTATCGACCAGCGTCGAGTCCGACGTTTGTGATGGCGAGGCACTCGAACTCTCACCGGAAAGTGATGGAGCTCCGGCGACAGAAGGAGATGCGAGATGAGCATTTGCTGACTCAGCTTCGGTCTGAGAATCTCCTGATGGATATCAGATCCAACGGTGACGATTTCTTAATCCATAATAATAACCACGTGGCTCCTGTTTTTAGACACTTAATCTAATATTCCTCTTTCCACGTGGACGAATTCTCCCGAATTTGTTCTTTTTTTTTTGTTAATTTTTGTTCCCGCTTTTCTTTTTAACATCTTAATTAATTGTTTTCATTTCTTGCAGACTACTACTGATATGTATAATAGCTTCTTCTTTTGATTTTCCACTTAGCGAAAACAAATAATTGACGATAGACTAGTTAAATGACCATCTTAATTTGTATCTGTTCAATATATTTTAAATTAAAAGTCATGAAAGTAATTGAACTAGGCAGACAGAATCCAAAAAGCATAAATCCAAATAGTTGTTACTCCTTTTCTCTTCCGTTGTTAGTATAAAATATTATAATATGTTTCTGTAGAAATCGTCGTGGTTGGGAATAATAACTATTCCTTTCAATTTGAATTCATCATATTCAGCATATCTTTGAGATTACATATTATTTACATATTTTTTACATGTAACATGTAAGAAGCTGAAACATGTAGTATTTATTAACCGATCAGGTTAACTGTATTTCAATATATATATATGGACCGTGATTAATTAGTGTGTATTATTTATTGTATCGAAATTCAAACAGTAATGTTATTCACCCGAAACACCGAGATCCAAGGTGGATGCGAACTCATTTTGACAGATGGGTTATGTTAATTTATCAATCTTAATTATTCTCCGAACTTTAACTTCTTTCACGTTTTACATTCTGACAATATTCGAGGAAATCTGATGCTTAATTTTATTTTATCTGAAATGTATTTAGTAAAATAAAGGGACAGATACAAATTTGCACAGTACAAAAGTAGTTTAAGTATTATTGGCTTGAGGTGCATAGATTGAGGTGCTCGTCACATGCATTCTCATGCAAACCTAACCAGCTAGCAAGTGGGAGAAATTTAATGTAAATTCGTATTATATAATTATAATATATAAATAGTCATCTTCTTAAAATCAACATTAAATAGTTTATCTTGATAGATATAGCATATATATAGGCAAAGGTCCACGGACTGTACTTGAAATGTCTGATTTCCAAACATATATTATTTGTTCGTTTATATCATATAGAAAGAAAAAAAGTTAGACCACCTCTACTTATCACATAGAAGGATTCTTATTTAGTTTCACGTTAAGGCTCACAACAATACCCCATAAATACTATATATGAATAAACTTATAAACATTCACTTTACAAATTAATAATTTGTATGCGATAACATCTATATGCATGTACGTAGATCATTATAAAAATTTCATATATTATTATGAAGCCAGAGTTTTTACGATTTACATTATTTGAAAAATTGGTAGACTCTATTCTATCGATATCCAATGCCTAAAAATTTATAGATGTTAGGTAGCCAATAAGCTGACTTTAGACGGATTAGGAGCTAGCTACATGAATACTTTTATACATAAGAGAATAAAATTCAAAATTGAGATGACTAATTTATAAAATATATTTAATCGATTGTCTAAACTGCATAAATGGTTTGGATGGTCTTAACATAACTATTAATTATAAGAATCAAGACAGATAATAAACGCCTAATAGCTATAGATATTGTATAAACGGCCTTCTGAATTTTTGAACACTGTTTTATATGTCTGATGTCTGGTGTTCATAAACATTAGACATTGTTACCCCTGTTGTTATACGCTATAAATCAAAAGGGGATACGTAAAAGCACCCACATATATTTATGAAGTCGTGTGAGTATGTTGCGTATACTGTATGCCATGTGGTGCCTATATATGTATATATAATTAATTATGTGGAATCATAACGGTCCAACGTCGCGTTCTGAATTATAGGGAAGACTTCGACGTCACTCAAAGAAAGTACCAAAAGCAAATTTATTCTTTAAAGAAACAAAAAAAAAAAATCCATTCTAAAGTCACTAAGATATAAGAGATTAAAAAAAGGCAAAAATGAAAATATAGAAAAACAAAAACTAAGCATGACAAGGACACTATATATGAGACATACATACAGACGAAATAGATTAAAATCAAAACCCTAATGAGAATCATTTCTATCAATCTACGTACTAGACATTGAGTATCGTAGTACGATGGGAAAATAAAAGTGTCACAGTCATCAGTACGTTTCTTTATAGTGATGTGCGGAAGCTTTAAAATGATGAGAGTCAGAACTCAGAACATGTTGGTACAAGGAAATGTTTTATTAGATTCTCAGAAAAATCACTGTACCTAGCTATATATCGTATAGTCGTACATACATTGAGAAAAAGTATTAGTTATACAGTTTAGGGAAAGAAAAATTGACTAATAGAGAGAACCTTTATTTTTTTTTAATCATTTTCGTTCTATATATATATAATAATAAGTATGAATTTTTAATATAAAAATTTGATACCCTTTTTTTTCTAAAATAATTGGTTTATTCGGTTGGATCGAATTGCCAACAATCCTATAGGAAAAATATATAGAACATAGTTTCTCCAATCTAATGTTTAAAAGTGAATTTTGCTAAACGCTACTCGGGTTCAAAGAAGACTTATCGTAAATCCAATTAAGAAGTTCATCAACTTTGAGGCAACTGCCTTTTATTGACTAAAAGCTGTATACTTTGTTTGATAGAGATGTTGAAGGGTGTATCTATGGACATCAAACAAAATTTCAGACTGCAGTAGTGGGGATTCTCTCTTATGTAGGAAGGGTTAAAACTAAAAATTTCTAAAGCATACTTGGGAGATAAAGAGCGATGTTATTAAGGCAAGGCGATAAACACACAAAAGAAAAGTAGACATATTTTTTTGGCTTTACTTGTTTACTTCTCATCATTAACCTTTTTATATAGATTCGCAATGTTCTTCAAGTTAAGATGAAACTTATACATTCTCTCTTGATTGTTTTCTTTCTTTCTTTTTTTTTTCTTTTTTTTTACCAGGGTGGAATTCAAGGATGATGAAGCAATGCCCGATGTGAACTCTTTAGACATCCGTAACATTGTAAATGGGAGGGGAACATATATTATAAGAAATTCATACTATTATATACAGTACTTCGAAGCTAGCTAGCGTTTTTACTATTTAATATTTACATTATTGGAAAAACATTAGATTGATGCTAGTCGAACAGTAATATAATAATGACCATATGTCTAGAGAATGGCGATAGTCTGATGCGATTTTTAAGAGCACTGATTATTTGCTTATAAACATTAGTCATTGTTATATCCATGCATGTTGTAACATATTATATCCAAAAAGGAAAGAAAAGAATACCTATTAAGGAGTCATGTGAGTATATATGTTGCGTACACTGTATGCCATGCATGTGGTGAATTTATATAATAACATATATAAAAGATATAAAATGATATGGAATCATAACGGTCCAACGTTGCGTTCAGGACTTTGGGGAAGACTTCGACGTCACTCAAAGAAAGTATCAAAAGGAAATCTATTCCAAAGTCACCAATATATATAAATAATAAAAAAAAGTAAGAACTTGATAGTGTCAGAACTCAGTTGATTTTTTTCTTTTACATGAATGCAACTCCAAATAATCAGCAGAAGAACTAACTAAATTAACCAACAAGAATACTTTGTTCAATCACTACAGAACAACAACTACCTTGCCTGAATTAACATCATCCTGGAGGAATCAAAATCCCAAAAGAGCTAGGACAAGAAAAAGCTCCTGAATCAGAGTAAAGCCAGCCTACCGGTTATGGAATCAACCAACTCCTTTGGTCCTGCACAGGAAAAAAAGTAAAGAACATGTTGAGAAACACCATCTTCCTTCAACACCTGTATTTGTTCTGCTTCAGCTAGTAACAGAGTAAAAAGAAACTATTGTCTCTACCTGGTCCAACTGCAAGAACCGTTCTTGATCCAGCCGCAACCTGTGAAAGAGGAAGGTAAGTTTCCATAAAAATACTTTTTAGCTTATCACTACAAAAGAGAACCCCAAAAAGTCTCGATTTAAGAACAGTCTCCTTATGTTTCAATAAGTCAGAAAGTGTTTTTGTTTTCTATTTGGCTTGAATTGGATTAGCAGATATTTGTTTGCCTAGGAGCTACGGTTGGACCATATTTTCAAGAAGTAATCAAGCACGAGAGAAAGTATAAATCTAAAAGTTCTTGTTGTTACCTGTGTTCTTCCAGCATCAGCTACAACAAAAGTCGGGAGGCCAACGCTCTCAGCCGCCTCTGTGACCTTATTCCTTATAGCAGAAAAAAAAATGTAGCTTTCAAATTTTATTGAAGACATATGTCTTAATGTGCATTTTGTCTGTTTCCCACAAGAGTTTCACCTGCTTACATTTCTTGCTGGTTTTTGCAAGTGACGACTATCTTTGGTTGCCCGCAATCCTCCCATCGTCTCAGAAGGTATCGGTCGCTGAAAGAATTATGAATGAAAAACATAAAACATAAATTTTAGAATGATAAATTCTTTACGAATCGAACCACTCACTACAGTCGAAATCACCTCTGCATTAACTCTGCATACATGCCGGTGGCAGCATCTGCAAATATCAGAAAGATTGTCATTTTCTTTCGGGATTAACACGGAAAATATTAGTGATCAAACTTCAAACACATCTTACAGGACACTTACGTGCACACTGTGACGCAACCTTGCCTGTTCTCATCTTTAAGTCTTGCCTAACTACTAAAACCTGTGATCAGAAGATGGACAAATTAGTTACAGAAATGTTCTGATTTTATCTTCTAATCTTGAAATCTGACAACATTCAAATCTTATCACCATCCTTTCATAGAGTATGCATTTTATTTTTTTTTATGAGGCTAAATATCTGTCTTTCGGTGGGTAGATTATGTATATCTCTTTCATGAAGCTCAATTCTATCTTTCGATGGGTTTGGAATAGAAAGCAGCTTGTAGGTTTTTAAATGATAATACTTTCTTTCAAACCAATAAATCTAGAGGCAGAGACGAGAACGATAGATACATTAGAAGATAGACAAACCATTTTAAGCTCTTGATCAGCGCCATTGCTTGGTACGGAACTCTGCTTCTGGGTCTTGCTGGATAAAAGTCTGCTCTTTCTCACTGGGAATTTAACTTGCTGCGACAAATCCAATAACATACCTATGATGAAACCTATCACAATCCCTGGTATGAGATTCTCTGCCTTGAAACTCCCAGCTATCGACTTCCTCTCTTGTTTCTGATTATATTCACCGGGAAAAAACAAAAATTATTCCACAAATTCTCAAAACCACAAGAGGATTTAGTTAGACCCTAGGTAAACTTTCAACAACCCAACAACAATTCTGGTTCGACAGCTGCAAGAATATCTTGGCATCTTAGTAAGATTTTAGAAACAAAACACAAGAAATTCTAGTTGGTTGGAGAAGAGAAGCAACATTCACTTTTGACCAAAAATCTCTAGACTTTATTTGCCAATCAACCATGAGCATACAGTGAAGACCTTAAAGTAGTTTGTGGAATTTGAAGCCAAATACTTATACTGAAATCAATGCAAACTTAGATATTCAGAAAGAATCAGACTATGACTCCTTAAGCACTAACTGATCCTATCATCAACCAACAAGAGAAGAAAGAGCTCAAGACAACATAATAATCCAGATTTTCTAGATCATCACACTCGCCAGCTGAGTTCATTTGTTAGTTTTGATCAAACTTTCTCGTGCGAAACATCAATTTCTCAGTCTGAGAGGAAATTTTACAAAACAGAGGGAGTAACAGCACTAAGAATCGATAAGAAAAACATAAAAGAAGAACATTTTTTCAACAAAAACTAAATTTATACAACGAATACTAAATCATTCGTCCCTGAAAAATCTCGATTATCCACGAAGAGAAAATCATCAAGAATCTTCAGCTAAGTAAATGAATTGAAGTCGTTCAACACTCTAGTCTCGTCTCTTCTTCAGTTTGCCCAGTTCTTATACGAAATTTGCTTCTAAGAAATTATAGGAAACCAAACAACAAAAGCTAACGAAAAAAAGAAGAGCGAAATTAATACCTTAGCTTGAGGCTGCGAAGATTTTCCAGAAGAAGTCCACATGGTGTGCTCCTGGCGATTCTCCTCTGCCACAGAGCAACAAAGCTGAGCCTTTAAAAATCGAATGCCATGACCATGAAGGAGAGAGATAAGAGAAGCTTCTGTAAACAGAAAACGTCAGGCTGTCCACTTACGTAATTACAAAACGACGAGTTGTTTGGAACAAAATATGAATTCGGAGAACATAGTAGTCCAATCAGAGAACCTTTCAAAGTATATAGCTACTTAAGTAATTACTACAAATATCCGTCTACCACACGGTGCGTTTTGGTGTCGTCCCTATTTTTCTGGCGACTAGAGCCTCTGGTCTGTACAGTTCTACAGTTCCCTCCTGAAAGCTAAAGACACCAATCAAAACCCTAACGGCCATTTCAATCACCGGAGCTCCGGAATGCCGAGTATAACTTCGGAAGCCGGAGGCGGATTGGGAAGCGGTGGAGAATTGGTGCCGTTTTCGACGAAGGAAAAAGCTCCGGAGGTGTATCCTCTTCACTACGGCCTGAAGTCTCCGGTTCATAGGCTCTCCATCTCCTGGGGGTGTGGAAACAACCTACGCGTCACGGTTTTACGGAATCCGGATTCACGCGATGATGACGGAGAAGTTGGTGGAAATGTGGTAAACGTGAGGCTTAGCGGAGAGGATGGCGAAATCGGCGACGCACAGTGGCGAAGGATCGCCTATGGATCGGTCTCCCCGTTTGCGCTTTTGCAGAGCAGGAGAAACTCAATTTCCAGCTTGTCTAAGATGGATATGAGCCCCTCTCTGTACCAGACTTCGTGGTGAGGACACTCGAATTTCTTAATTTTCTTTTGTCAAATTCCGGGAAGATCCTGGAAGAGAAAATGTTCATAGGATTGGCTGAAATCTTACCAGAATCCTCTATACCAGTTGAACATGTATACCCGGAAGATAAATTATATTTTTGAGCCCTACTTCATAATTGATTGTACCTTTCTGCGTAGAATTTGAAAGCTTTAGAACGCTTCTCGTTTGTTTGGAACTGCTGTTGATCAGATTTTTCCCATTCAAAGGCTGAAATGCTGTTGTGGCTTATTGTTGCATCTGAATGATTACTCTTCTACTTAGACTTATAAGAGCATTCTGGATTTTCATAATGCATGGTATCAGGTGGGAATATGTAATGGAATACAGCAGGGATATTAAATCTCTCCTTAGTAGTTCAATATCTTCCCCAGCACCTTTGATTGAAGACCCAAAATCAGTGATAAAGGTACGTAGGATTTTCAACATTTGTTAACTTTACTATGATGTAATCAGGCTTTTATTTCTTATAAAAGTTAACTCTTTCGCGAGTGAGTTATGGCTTTGAGTGTGGGAGCATGTTTAATGGATTTTAACATTGACATACACATGCAGAATGCTGAGGAACCGACTTCTTTAAAGGCCGCATGGGAGTTGATGGAGATATTTTATGCAGACAAGACATGTCTTTCTTGGTTGCCAGAACGGCTCGTTGATTGGCTATCTGTAATTAGTTTCTTTCCCCCCCATTACTTAAGCTATCTTAGTTTTAAACCTTCTAGAATATGTTACCTATTATTGATATCATGGCAGGATTATGATATCCTCCTTTCAAGCTCACATCCAACAATTTACTCAAAGCTCGAGGATTTCCAAAAGGAACTTGTTGGCCTACAGGTCTAGTCGCTTATTATCTTTTCAGTTCTCTCTCGGGGTGTCGGTGGTATAAAATCTTATGTAGTGGATATATGGTCCCTCTCTCAGAAGTCGATTGAAGAAGTGGTAGTTTTTTCAAAAAAGAAGCGAGTGACGAACTGAATTGCTTAATGGGTTTGTGTGCCTTTGCAGGCCATCGAGGATGATCCAAGATACTGGGAAGTGATGTCATCTGCTTTATCAGTTGGTTGGCTAGAAATAGTGGTTCGTACGATTTCGTGATAGGGGGTTTTATGTAATTTAATCTTGAAAGTTGCAATTTGAGAAATGAGCTACACAACTTTTATTTTCAGGTGAAACTGTTACACTTACATGGTTCTTATCAACTAGATCAGCTAGGAAATCGTGAGGTTGGTAAGATCTAAGTAGTTCGTCTTTGAGATTCATGTTTTATGGAGTGACTATCTACATGCTAATACTTTTGTATATGCGCAGATTTCTAACTATTCATAATGTAATACAAATTTGATGATGTAGACAGAAAATGGTCTGGTAGAAGCTGTCGCTGTTCTCATTTCAAAAATGCCACGGATGCGTCCAAAACTAGAAGCTGGGAAGTTTGGTGAATGCTTTGCAGCAAAGCCTGACTTTATGAAAGTATGTTAGAAAGATGTATCATTCTTTCTCTTTTTAGTGTATTTTGTGTCTAGACTCATCTTGCCTTTTCCCCCTTTTTGCTAGACACGAGAAAGATGGCAGTCTCAGATGACTAAACTAGAGTGCAGTGCTTTCTGGGTTCAATGTGCTCACCATAAGACCCGCGAGGGCTTGAGAAATATGTTGAAGATCATGATGGGAAATGTCGATTGTCTCTCAGCTGCGACATGTAACTGGACGGAGCTTTTTGTTTCACATTTGCTCCATCTCAGGCCATTCACGAAGGTGAACTGCTTAAGCTGTTGTTTGTCTATTTTAATAGCAAGCCGTGTATCAATTCCTATTTATTCAGATCGGAAACCTGAAAATCTAAATAATACCATGTTGCATTGCAGGGACTAGACGGCATGCATAACCTTGCCCAGAAATGTGCTCAGTCAAAGCCAGTTAACACTTCCCATAAGCTTCTGAGACTACTTATTGGAATTCTTGGAGAAAATACTGAGGTCAGAAATGGATTTTATTCCCAAACAGAGGTGTAACTATCTCAGCTCTTTGTCACCCTAATTCGGCATGGTAAAAAATGATGCAGGTTGTGCTGGCAGTGTGTTCCAAAGAATTTGGCTCCTGGTAGGTCTTTTGTTCTTGTTACTAACTCCATTGAGTATGGTATATTGTTTATCGATACGGATCAGGAGGAGACTATTTTTTTGTTTCTTGTTAGGATGGTGGCACATGCCATGGAATTATTGACAGCTGGAAGCGATGAAGGAGAAGCTCTTGTACATGAGGAGCAGCGAAACTTGGGTGGAATCAACATGGAAGAGCTCCATAGACTTGTTTATGCTCAAGTTCTTTCTTCTCATGCTTTGACTTGGCAGGTACCCTTTTATTTATGACTTATCATGTACCTATCCTGTAAAATTATCTAACTTAGCCTGCATAGAACTTAGTCAAATTGGTACCTTTTGTGTATGTTTTATGTAAGAAGCTTTGTGTTTAAAAATTTGCAGATAGCTCCTGTTTATCTATCATCGTGTGAGAAACAGGGACTAGGCTTATTAGAATTGTTGTTCTACCGGCAGCCAGTGCAAGACAACCAGTTGCTTATTAAGGTTTCATTTATTCAATTGCATACATTTATTTCCGTTCTCTATTGTTGCTTAAAAATTCTAGTTTCTTGTCAGAAGCCTTCACCTGGTACCTATGTTTCTCCTGATGCAGAGTCTAGAGATTTGCCGTCTATATGAACTTAGTAATGTCAGCGCTAAACTTATGAAGGTATTGATATATTGAAAAAAGATTCTACACTTTTGCTCGCTTATTTCAAATTTGGTTGAAAAAATAGATTTCATCTGAAGTAAGTTATGGTGTTCAGATCTCTGGAGTGCATCACTGGAAACATGGGAGGAAAGGGTCTGGAGTTTTTTGGCTACAGCAAGCCCGGGACGAACATTGTCTCAAAGTGATTGCACAACAGCTGTTTGATTCTGTTGGAAAGTCATTGTCTGATGAAAGTCTCAAGGTATATACATGCTCTAAGCCACACTCGAAACATATTTCATTTTATTATTTTGTCATTTCATACTTTTAACATGCAGCAATGGGAAGGCCTGGTTGAGTTGCTGGGTTCCGAATCACAAATCTCTGGTGGTCTTGATTTTCTTCACAAGTAATCATCATCTCTCTCTCTCTCTCTCTCTCTCTCTCTCTCTCTCTCTCTCTCTCTCTCTCTCTCTCTTTATATATATCTTTATTTGCTTGTGATTTGTTTTTCTGTAAAAATCTGTCCTAACACTATTATCAATATCCATACTTCCAGATATAGAGACTTCAAGAGATCACTGAAGCTAGTCCATGATGGAAAAGCTATAGATGCGGCTCACGAAGCTGTGGAGAGACTTGTATCGGTGTGTAAAACATCATCTTTCTTAATTACTAATATTTTACTCACAGGAACATTTTACTCGGGTGTATTTTAACATTGCTTTACCATTTTAAGTACTGCAGCTAATGAAGAGCCCTTCTACTCCTCAACGCTTCTGGCTTCCTCTTCTGCATGATTCAGTAAGGAACCAAATCTTGTTTTTCATTTTTTATTTGATTTCGCAAAGAGAGTGAGCAACTGAAAGGAGGTTTTGTTTGTGTGTGTATGTTTACAGTTGAAGCTGTTGAATTGGCCAGAACGTTCGCTGTTGAATGTAACACAGACCAACCTGATGTTGAACAAACTACAAGAAGTATCAATTGCAAGGCTAAGGCCAGGCTTCGTGGAATCCGATTTGTCTGCTCAAGCTGTGGGTGCTGTTAGACTTGCTCTTGCAACCAATCTCGGACGTGCTTTTCTCGAAGACTGTTAGCGCCGGTTTTGAGGCTAAATTACGAGCTCCGTATCTATTTATGTGTCTTGCACTTCGTATGACATAAAACTCATGTATCTTAGTATCAAATATGAGACTATAAACACACTGTTTTAATCATTTACTGGTTTGAATCATGATTGCTGAAGTTAAGAAAAACGTAGAATTCCAATGGTTACAGGTGAGAAAAATTTAGTAACATGTCAAAACGCTAACAAGTAAATCTCGACGCCATTGTATCTTCTCTGCGCTGATCACTTTGAAACATTTGAAATTAAGCGAATTGTGTGAATGAAGCTCACACTGATTGAGCGTACCGGTTGAAACCGGTTTACTAATGTCCCTCACAGACAGCACTCGCATAATTTTGTTTTTGCAATTCCTATCCATCAGAGAGAGAGAGAGTGGTTTCAGTTTAGCCATGGCGACCAGAGCATTCCTCGCCGTTATATCTTCTTCTCCGAATCGTTGCTTCATCACTCCGCGCATGATAAAAAACCAAGCTTCAGCTTTTTCTTCTTCCTCTTCTTCCTCAGCTCTCCAATTCCAAAGACACAGTAGAAAACCCCACAGAATTTCTCGAAGTTTCTCGTCTGAGACAAACTCCTCTGTTCTTCAGCCGCCGGATATATCCAGTCTGGCTAAGACAGCTCGAATCTCTCTCACTCCGGCAGAGGTACACTTTACTTCTCTTTGGTTTTTTTAAATTTACTTCATTTCTTATATTGATTTCTTGAATTGTCCTCTTACTTTCCTTTGATCTTTCTTTCAGATTGAGGAATATGAACCTAAAATTCGTCAAGTCATCGACTGGTAATCAATCTATTTTCGTTTATAATTCGTTTTGTGTTTTTCCACGATTGTATTGTATAAATATTTTCGATCCGCTGTAATCTTCCAAGCTATTGTCTTGCAGATAATTGACTTATGAATTGGTGACAAATGCAGGTTTGGCCAGCTTCAACAAGTTGATGTTAACAGTGTGGAGCCAGCAATTAGAGCAGGTTTTTTATTCAGACTTTTATAAATCACAAAACTTTCTGAGTAACTAGGGAAACATTTTTGTAACTAGGGAAAAAGGAAGCATTTTCTGAGTTTCATCTCATTGATTGGGTTGTGTGTTATAGCTAACTTGACACCGTAAGAAATAATGGCCACCGGTTGGATTTTTTTCTGAAATCAATGGCAAAACTGGTTGTAAGTAAGATTTGTTGCATCAATCTCACGTGTATTATGGCGAATCATCAATTTGTTTCTGTTTCAAGTACACTCATGTGACAGATCTTTATAAGCTAAAGTTGAATGGACATTAGGTCTTGGCTAATAAAATCTCTCTGTAGTCTAAGGACAGTGTCGTGGTAAAATCTGAGGAAGCATATGGTTTTTGCTGTAATAAGAAGCTTAGTCATCAATTTTGATCCTTTTGGGCAATCAGGAACATAAGTGTCTATTTTAATGTCTTGATCCTTACTGATCTGAAAAAAAAAGTAAAAACTTGCAGATATGGAAGGTGGAAATTTGCGAGAGGATGCTCCTGAAACATTTGAGAACAGGTTTGTTTGATCTTCATACAGTTTTCACCATGTGGAATAGTAGAATAATTCCGTTTTGAAAGATGATGTTTCAGTAAAACCCATCTACTAAAGTTTAAGACTTTCGATATTCCTTGTACAGGGATAGTATAAGAGCTTCCATTCCAAGCTTTGATGAGGCATATTTAAAAGTCCCTAAAGTACTAAACAAAGAGTGACTTTGTCAGGTACTCTACTCTATCCACGGAGGAGGAATCATTTTTTATGCTTATGATCTTTAGTTTTATATTTTAAGAATCATAGTTGATGTCTCTCTTTCTTCATTTGCAGCTTCTTCGAGTTGTGTGGCTGGAGAGATCATTCTCAGCTCCAGTAATTTGTTCCAGCATCTGTGTTTTCTAAAATTGTTTAGGAGAGAAAAGTATGCCCTCAGAAATTGTCTACAACATTCAAGTTCATGGCTCACAACAACCTTTGTATAAGCTTATGATGATGGGCCGAGTAGTTTGAATGCGGTGCGTTTAAAGCCCCATCGGTTATGAACCCGGACCGAACAAATTGCTCTCCAGTTTCAATTGATTGATTTTTTTTTTCTTATCTCAACATGTGTTGCATATAATGTTGTAGTCCTTGTGGATTTCAAAACCCTCAGTCATGAGATAAAAAGGCAACATTTTATAAAGAGTGCATCAACACAATCACTAAACAATTCAGTCAAGAGAATTTTGTAGTGAATACAAGACATAATTTAAAACGGCAAAACAAACATCCCAGTCCGGATCATCTGAGAGAGAGCCATCAATGTTAACAAAAAAAAAAGAAAACAAGATGGATCTTTCTTTGGCGTGAGAATCAAATAGAAGAAGCGTGTGCTTTTCTTGTTCTCCCGATCTTTCAGGATTATTCTTTCTTATTTTCCTACTTTCCTAAAGAGTTAGCTATATTCACCTGAAAAATCTTTGAATCAGCTTTGTGCACAAACCAGAAGACGCCTTTGTTAAAAAAAACCAGCTCCCCTCCACCGTGTTTTGTAATAAATATGGTTTGGTTCGTGTCTTACGACTGCCAGAACAGCTCAGAGTCATCACTGTACAAGGAGTAATCTTGTATCTCCAGGTTCGCAACGTGCCAGTTTACAAGTTGAGATTGCAACACTTTGCACAGAAACAAAGCCACCGGAAATATCCACCATTCGTTCTCGTCCCTGCAACAACAAACCAAAAAAAAACAAAACAATTTATGTTCAAGGGTTAGTTGATGACGCAACTAGGGAATGTGTTGTTATATGTTTGAATTTCAAGGTCCTTCTCACATGCTAATGTTCCATGGCTGGAGATATGGAATCTTTTTTCCAGCTGATGAGCCATGATAGTGAATATATCCACACACAAACGCAACAACCTGCGAAAAAAGGTTTTTTTTTTTTATTTCATCTAAGAGGAGACTGCAGAAACCAGAGACGAGTTCAGGCTTTAAGAAGTGAAAATAATATTTGCATGAAGAGAAAGGGACAAGTACTTACGACATTGACCAGGGATGTGAGATTCCACAAAGCATAGACGCGAGTGCGTCCAGCAGAGCGCCTTGGTCCGTGGCTAAACAAAGCGCTGACTCCGGCAGGGAACGGGAAAATGATGCTGAGAGGTAAAATAAACAAAGCGAGAAAAACGTCCAGCATAGATATCGAGTAGAGTTGAAGCAGAGTGAGTAACATTAGAGTTAAATCTCCTAGGAGCAGCACTGAGATAACCAAACCAACCAGATCCTGTCAACACCACCGGAAATTCAAAACCTTCAGTTGTAAGAAAAAGGAAGGCAACATGTTTGAAGCAAAAGAAAGGGAGGCTTTACCTGATGGCCAACAGGTTTTGTGTTATGAATCAAGAAGGAGATGAGGGAAAGGACATCTTTATCTTCTTTGAGAAATTGTAAGCTACCAATGTCTATGATTTCTCCACAGTCTCGATGCCTCACGTAATTAGTTGAGCTTCTTCGAGATCGAGTGAGATGCATATTCTCCCTCAAATCACCAGAGGAGTTTTCAATTTGTACCCCCCTGCATATCCAAAACTCAAGGGACGTCTTTAAATCTTTCGCAGTAATGTACTTGGCAAACAAAACAGCAGAAGAGAATCGGAAGTGGATTGCTTACCATGGATGCTGCTGTTCTGCTACTTCATCAACAATTCTTGTTGATGTCACTTCATCTAAAATGGTGTTAACAAGGATTCCATACTGGCAAGACGAAGAAGGCGATGCCTGAAACTTAGCCAGGTCAACACGTACACCATGTCTTTTCAAAGTAGGGTTTCCATGAGTTTCAATCCATCTCATAACCGAGCGAAACGTGGACCTCAGTTTTCCTTGCTGAACCAGACGCAGCTGAGCGTTCAGACCAGCGACAAAGCGGTACCAAGTGGTTGGTGGGACCAACTACAAAAAGGTGTAAATTCATTAAAGACATTGCAGTCATTGACACTCAGTTCATTTAGAACAAGAAGACCACGGCAAACAGATCGGTCTATATGAAATAACAAAACCGACCTGGCTCAAAAGACTGGTCAGAATATCATCACTTTGGAGTGAGTAATAGGCCATGTAACTTCCATCGCCTCCAAAAATTAAAGGCATTGGAAATCTTTGATGAACCGGAGGAGGAAGATCATTTCTCTTTTCGTCACCACCAAGGAAGAAATCTAGATAAGCTAGCATTAAATCAGGGGTAGCAGCTACCTGCAGATTCACATCACAAACTCCCATGATTCTTCTACCACAATCCTTTTTCTCAATTTATAAACAATGCAAAAGTTTACTAATAAGGTCAATGTAACATGAGAGTGAATGCAACTTGAGGAGAACATAAGCTTACACCTCTTAACTAAGATCCTATTAGAACTGTAACGACTGATCCTATGGTTAGCCCCTTTATATTTCTCGCTTATATTTTTACAATGATAGATAGTAAGTAGAGTACCTTTAGCCCTTCATATAACGCCCTTGAACGACAGGAGCGTAGACAAGAATGGTCATATTCTGATCGAACAAAGTCACGGAGTTTCTGAAATTTCAGCCTCCGACGTGATTGCTGCCATGACCACGCAAGAGGGTAGACAAGAACCGAAAGCATGATGTAAATCGCACCCTCCCACCACTGATATGAAGCTATAGCATTGATCTCATCCACAAATCCATTAAACGCAGCTTCATACCTGAAAAAAAAAAAATATAAAACAACCTTCAGGTATTAGCATATTATCTCCAAAGGGAAAAACTCAACAGCTAATAACTAACTTACACAATCTCCTTTATTTCCTCTGGGGGAGTATGAGAAAGATGCCAAGGTTCGCTGAAAGTATTAGGACCTAAGAAATAGATCCTATGCATGTGACCCTGTGATTCCTCCACTCTGCTTGTCTCCATCACCTGAATAACATAAACACAAATTTTAATTACAAAAGGAGCATCTGAAAAATGATATGTGTTGAAGGGAATTAGTTTTTTAATTGACACACAGATTAACGTGTGGAGATTGATTATTGCTATAGCCTAGCAAACATAGTGCCTTGATAATTGTTTTTAATTTGCTAAATCAAGATATCAAACACAGAATTATAATCGTGGATCGCAACCTATCTAAAAAAAAAAATAACTCTTTCTTACAACAGACCATTTCCAGATTTTTCTGTCAACAGGACCTCTAATAACAACCACCATACTCTACGTAGTCAATTGTTATGTTCCACTCACATAATATCTCCCTTCAACTAAATTATGGATTTAACTTCTACAAACAAAATCAGCAAGGAGCATTGGTGAGACCCAAATATAAAAAAGACCAAGGAGCAAGAGACTAAGCAAACCTCGTTCAATGACTCAAGGAATGGAAATGAGTGATCAATCTGAGAGCCATGATGGGTTGGGGCAGCCCCGAGCACCTCCTCGCCACTAACAAATTTCATTCGGGCGACGCTAAAAACAAGTGCGAGTAGGAGGAGCACAACTACTAAAAGAATACCAAACAACCAGGGTCCACCAAATGTGTATATTAACTCTTCAAGTGTCGTATAACAGTGTGGCATGTGGTATCTATCCGAAATGCATTGATGTGGACAAGGCGTTTCTGCAACACCCCCTGTCAATAAACAAATAAAACACAACATAGTTTATGTATCAGACACACTGACGATAATGACAGTAAAAACACATTGCACAGAAAATCAATGTCCCTCATTAGATAAGGTCTTTGCAGCCATTTTAAAGTTGAAGATGTTGGCTTGCTCTTTTCATCTAAGTTTATAAGATTCAAGATCACTGTTTTTCGTACAAACGTACCTCGAACATTGACATATACAGCGCGATGGGGAAGATCACTAGCCGGACAAAGATGACAAAGAGATTTATCGGATCCAGTAACGTTCTTATAAGTTCCGGCTGGACATTCCTGTAGAATATTGAAACATGTAGATGGTTGAAGCGTGTTAAATCAATGAATTTAAGGGTTTGAATAATTCCAGAAACGTTATAATGGACAGAAACAATAACACATAATTCAACACTACCTCACAATATAGACCATAGAGCCCTTGTGGACAAGCTTTACCAGTCAAAGTTCCTGCTTCCCCAACGTTATCTTCACTGGCACCCAACCCTCCTCTGTAATCATTTATAGAAATCGGATATTATGTTTCAATAACGCATTAAGAAGAGGTTAGAGTGTCTTGTCACAAAAGACAGAATTATGAATGAAAAACGGTCACAGTTGGTTGTGATATAACAAACCTTACATAAACTCTTCCCTTTACTTTGGCAATGTGATGATAGACATCACCAGTAGGAATGTCTGACCAATGAAAATGAATCCTTCCACCGCTTCCTCCACCACCTCCTTTTAGACTACCATTTCCTCCACTACTAGAGAGAATCGCAGACTTTGCTATATCAAGTGTGCGCAAGAACAGAAGCACGGTTCCACCTGAGCCACCACCAGGTCCTAGACTTGAATTACTTCGGCCTTTCAGCGTCTTCCTGGGACTTTCACCATCAGTAGTTATCGAGCCTTCAAGTGACAAGCTTGAAAGTGGGTGCTCAAGTGAACCAATCACTTCACAAATTGGTAAGAAAAAAACTTATTAGGAAGATATACATTTCAGAAACAGTTAGTAAAACATGTCGAAATGAAGCAACCACTTCTCTATAGATATACGCGGTACATGCTTGAGATTAGAAAAATCGAATACTAAATCTCCAACAAGACTTACCAATGATTCCTCCACCAGCAACTGAATCTGTTGACTCCTCATTTCCACTTCCACTGCCAAGTTCACATGGTAGATCTGCATTTCCATAAGAATCGCCACCCTCGATACAAGTATGATTGTAACACCCGCTTCCACCTTTACCACCATGTCCACCTCCACTCCCAATACCGCTTCTCAAAAACCTACCTGTCCCAACTCCACCTTTGCAGCCTGTGTGCATAATAAAATCTCTCAAAAACTGGTTCACATTACAGATTAAAAAAGACAGAAAGTAAACACAAATGAGTATGTGTGCTCACCCATCCCGTCTGCGGTTATTGTTCCAGACGAGCGTACAACCA